TCCATCTCTGAAGAATGAAATGTACAACTGGACAAATCTCATTAAGGTCTGATGGATTGTGTTTTCTCATGTCCACAAGATAATTTTTTTTTTTTTGAGACAGAGCCTCAAGCTGTCACCGTGGGTAGAGTGCCATGGCATCACAGCTCACAGCAACCTCCAACTCCTGGGCTCAAGCGAGTCTCCTGCCTCTACCTCCCAAGTAGCTGGGACCACAGGCGCCCACCACAATGCCCAGCTATTTTTTGGTTGCAACCATCATTGTTGTTTGGCGGGCCCAGGCTGGATTCGAACCCGTCACCTTAGGTGTATGTGACTGGCACCTTAGCCACTTGAGCCACAGGCACCAAGCCCAGAGGATAATATTTCAAGGAGGATTCTAACAGTCTTGGCTTAAAAAGCAGCAGTTTCCATTTTGCTAGTCCCTTACAGCGATCTTTTTTTTTTTTTTTTTTTAAGAGACTCTCACTTTATTGCCCTCAGTAGAGTGCCTGACATCACAGCTCACAGCAACCTCCATCTCCTGGGCTTAGGCAATTCTCTTGCCTCAGCCTCCCGAGTAGCTGGGACTATAGGAGCCCGCCACAACACCTGGCTATATTTTGGTTGCAGTTTGGCTGGGGCTGGGTTCGAACCTACCATTCTTGGTATATGGGGGTGCCCTACCCACTGAGCCATAGGTGCCTCCCCCACTTACAGAGATTTTATGCTAGAGTAAAACTTCCCAGGACAATGCCATGCATACTTCCTGATGCCTTTTAGAAATTGGGAAATATCTTAGGAAGAGAATTCTAACAGTTCAGTAATATTGCTTAATAATTATTTTAAAATAATTACTAAAGAAATGTATAGAAGCTTTATTCTTCAATTCTGACCAATTTGGACAAAAATTTTTTCTTCCCTTATTTTGTTGTTCAAGTTTAATACTTCCACCTCCAACCAAAGGGCAATTTTTCATGCTACTAATGCTTGTGACCTTCCAGACTGCTTTCTTACATTTTTCTAGACCTCTACTCTGTCTTTCCTGTGTTTCTTAGCCCAGCTTCTCCCTAGGAAAAGCCCCTTTTTCCTGGCCTTCTCACTTGCCCTTTGTTACAACTTTTTTTACACATTAAATACAGCTTCCACTGCTACATTGGCACCACCTATGTAGACACCTCTACCCTATATTTGAAATTTTTCATAGAAACAATATCCTTATCATTATTTACTATGCTCACTCTCATGCCTTTATTTTTATATGGGTGTGTATATGTATATATGTATGTATACACACACTTTTTTTTTTGAGACAGAGTCTTACTTTGTCACCCTCAGTACAGTGCTGTAGCATCATCGCTCACAGCAACCTCAGGCTCTTGGGCTCAAGCAATTCTCTTGCTTCAGCCTCCTGAGTACCTAGGACTGTAAAGTGGCTACCACAACACCTGGCTATTTTTAGAGATAGGGTCTTACTCTAGCTCAGGCTAGTCTCGAACTCGTAAGCTTAGGCGATCTGTCCACCTTGGCCTCCCAAAGTGCTGGGATTACAGGTGTGAGCCACCACATCTGGCCAAAGCAGAAAAGTTTTGCCTTCATCCTGCTTTAGCTAGGTAGGTTTCCAGGTAAATGGCATTTGAAAACAGAGTTATTTTTAAAATTTTTTTTGAAAATTCGTAATCTCTCAGGCCAGACTTTTCCAGATTTCAATAATACTGCTAGTTAGAAACTTCTTTGTTATTCTGAGATGGAATCTATCCTGCCTTCCAAATTGCCTGACTGTTTCATCTGCACAATAGTTCTCTAGATCTTTAAAGGTCCTTTCCCAAACTTGCTCCACTGAACATTCCACTTCTTAGGTACAGTATCTCATCAGATGAGAAGTTTTAGTTGCTTTATTCTGATCTATGGGAAAAATTATTTTTGTTTGACAGATCCCATCGTGTTCCTGCTTCAGGAGACATTAGAGATTGTCATCAACCAGGGACTTCGGGGGAAATCTGGAGCATTTTTTATAAACCTTCTACTTCAATTTCCATCTTTAAGAAAAAACTCAAGAGTCAGAGTCAACAAGATGACCGTAATCCCCTTGTGAGTGACTAAAAACCCCACTGTGGACATGAGGTCCCTCTTTGAGCTCAGGGCTGCTGGGGTTGACCTCTCCTGTGGTTCTCCCATGGATTCTTCCCTGCCTCTCCCTCCACCTGGGCCTCTTCAGGGGCACCCTCCTCCAGACTGGGAAGGGCACCATGCTGCAGGGGCAGGCACAGCCTGGATTTCTCCTGCTTCATCAGGTGCACTTGGGAGAGAGACTCAAGGCCATAGGGCTTGGCCCTGTCTGCATCTCTCTCTGATCTAGCAGTGGGGATGCCAAGATAGTGGGGCAGAGAAGATAGAGACAGTTGTGGCTAGCACTGGGCTCAGGTGCATTCTAGATGACTGTCAGGTGGCGGGAAGGGTTAGTTATATGGAATATACATTGCTTCTTATCTCTTTTGTCCACACACAGATCAGTTTCTCCTGGTCTTTACAATTTTGAACAGGGCCAAAGAGGAAGAATTCTCGTTCTCATGAGGGTTGGCCTGGTCCCATACAAGTGTGGACTCGTGGGCATTAGCAAAGAGTAAAGGGGGCTGGTGCTCGTTGCTGACCCTGGAGACTTGCTCTCTGGGTGCTGGACTGGGACAGGTTTCCCCCAACCTAGAGGGCCTGAGAATAGGGTCTAAAACCCCTATTTATGTCCAATCTGACACCTTTTATGTCCAATCTGACACACAAGTTTCTTTCTACGTTCTTCTTTCTGTAGCTCAGTAACCTGCAGAGAAATCTTTGAGAGGTACTCAGTAACTCCTTGTCAGGTTGGATGTATTTGGCCTTTCCCCCTGTGGAAGCTGAAGGCCTTAGCTTCTCTGGAATTCTCTCAGCTAACTCTCATTTCTGAACAGGGAGTATAAATATTGTGCTTTAGCCTTTAGATGGCGTTATGTGGGACATGGGGCCTGTGGTACCTCCTAGAGGGGTCTCACATTTTAAAGGAAAATGAAAAACACCCAGAGGGCTGTGCTCTTTGATGTGTTCCCTCATGGGGACCGAGTGGGGTTAGTAAGGGTTCAGGAAAAGGTAAAGACTCTTGTCCCTGGTCCCATGCTACCCGGTCCCTTTGACAGGGAGGTGAACTGCAGATATTGGTGTGAGGGGAGAGAGTGCTTGGCAACTGATCCTCTGAGGATAGGCTCTAATATTGAGAGCCCCAGCTGCAGCAGCCACCAGTTGGGAGAGTTACATGTCATCTCTAATTTAGAAGTCCCCACCATCTGGGAGTAGGCTTTGTCAACAGAAGCTGAGAAGAGGGACCTGTGCCTGTGACAGTGAAAGCCTGGGCCTTGCACAGAGTGTGCCTCTCCCAAAGATGCTTGGGCATTGGTAGTTGTTGCCTCTGGTCTTTGGTTCCCTCTTTGGAGTGCTTTGCCCACCTTACCCACGTCCCTAATCTCCTGTCTGCTCTGGCTCCTCCTGAGTTTCTGGCAACCCATCTGTGCCTGATTGCCCCTGGGAAAACAGAGGGGGCTGCGTGGGGCCAGCTGGAAAGTGTCTGCAGTAAGAGGTGACACTGGGCAACCTGAGCTACAGGCAGAGGAGCATTCTGGGAGGGAAATGGGGAGGTGTGTCCACAGGTAGGCAAGACCTGCAGAGGGTACTGAGCCACTCTGAGCTGTCTCAGTGCTTTAATCTGGGAAAGGTGATTACCCTGGAGCAGCTGTCTGCAGGCCCCTGGGTCTAGAGGCACAGGCCTGTCACACATGAGGACCACTGGAAATATAACAACATGTGCAGTGTCCAAGCTATTTGTGGCTTTTGTGGAATCTCTTCTCAAAAGCAAGTATCAGTTGTCTATAGTCCCAGAAGGCACAGTGCTGGGAATAGATCCATTTGCAGGGCAAAGGGAATATGGCATTTGGCCCCAGTAAGGGTTTGCCTGGCTAAAACACAGCTGTTCAGTGGCCCAGGGCTGAGGCTGGTTCTTACCCACCGGCTTTCCCTCCTCACATCTCCAGCCTGCCAGCACTGCTGTATAGTCAGAGCCTGTAGCTGGAGCAGCCCTTCCAGGAGGGCCTGGGAGGAGCTGTGATGCTCAGTGCTCCCTTTCCTGCAGGGCCTCCAGGATTGACTTACCATCCATGGAGCAACCCTGGAAACCCAAACCCACCTCAGGGCAGCATGGCAGGGAGAATGACCGTAACTGTCCCAAGGCAAAGCTCCATTTACCCATAAACATGGGGTCCCTGCAGCCTGGTCATGGCCTCAGAACCTGTGGGCAACACCCCACAAAGGACTCCTGCAGCTAAGTAAACACCTGAGAAATAAATTATCCCAGAAGAAATGAGGTGGGTTTCCAGAAGCATAAAGGAGAAAACACTTGATCTTTTAAGAACCTCCTTTAAAAGAGGGTATTGAAGGTGGTAGGAAGAGGGTGACCCTGAGGAATGTAAATGATAAAATGTGTAGCAGAAGGCTGGAAAGAGGCAGGGAGGGGTGTAAGGGATCACTGAACACACCCTGCCCAAGGCCTCCTTGAGGTGCCAGAGCATGAGAAGAGGCTGCAGGGGGCTCCCTGGCCAAGTGCCCTCCTCACCCCTATTCAGTGCCGGCTCTCAGCCTGCCCCTCAGTGTGTGCTCTAACAGGAGGGCCAGCTGATCTTGATGCCTCCATGGTGATTGTGCCTGAGAGTGGACCAGCCTCCTGGTGTCTAGTGGCATTTCTCAGGGTCCTTGGCCCCTCTGACAAGGCAGCCAGGGGGCCCTCAGTTCTCTGTGTCCTTCCATGCTTATCTAATTGCTCGCAAAGCAGAGAATGGGTAGGGATGAACCTCCACATCAGGACAGGGTGAGTCCTCTCTGTTGAGCAAGGGAACTGCTGCTCAAACATTTGAAGAGTGGGCTGTGACTCAAGACTCCAAACAGCCAGAAGCCCACAGAGATCAAAGCACTAGCAAGACAGCTGTCCCAGGCCTGGGGCCTAGCCACAGGGTGTGCCTGGGCACAGCACCCACACTCCCCCGTTGTCAGCCTAGGCAGGGCCATCACCGGGCACTGCACACTGACTCTCCATGGCACTTATGAGTGGATGTCCTCTGGGATCCTGCTGCCCTTTCTGCTGAGGCCACACCAGGGCTCCTACAAGCCCAGTCAACTGGCACCCTGTTTGGTTTCAAATCTCCTGTTTGGTATTTGATGTTTGATGTCTGCTTTTGTTACTACCTTGGAAATGTTTAACATTTTGATTGTTTCCTCTGGTGTCTTTGTTTACCTTCCTCATTGTTCTACCTCCCAGGCCAGGTCTCCCAGCTCAGCTGCCCTGGTATGGGGTGTTGTCCAAACCTTCCAGCCACAGCTGCCACTCCCTCAGGCTGGACAGCTCAGGGGTGACAGGGCTTCCCCTCTGCCTGCAGATCCCCGATGGGCCCCTCTCACAGGCTTCTGTCTTCTCCAGTTGAGCATACTCAGCAAGGCAGGAGTGGGCTGTGAGGAAGGAAGTCAGAGGTGAATCTCCTGCTTCAGAAAAGACATTCTTTAGAAGGACAGCCCAGAGGCCCTTGCCTGCCTACATGGGCCCCCGGGACTCCCGCATGTCAGACCTTCCCACGTCCAAACTCACCTTCCAGTGGGGAATTGACTTTGGATGACAAGGCTTTATTTGTAAATATGCTCATAACATGCAACTCTGAGAACAAAATAGAAACATCATGTATTTTAAAATGTAAGATGAAGTGTGATGCACTGCATACAATTTAATATATATTTTTAGGATTTTGTTATTTAAGAAAATGGAATGTAATGGTACTTAACTTTTACAAAAGAGAAAAAAATGTTATTTTTACTGTCTGGAGAAAAATAAATATTCTCATTGTTGTAGAAACAGTGATGGGCCCTAGGCTGCCATTTGTATGAGTGTCCCCCCAGTGTCTCCCCAGGGTCATGTGGTGGAATTCTTCCCTCCAGGCCTCACTCTTTGCTTGCTTTTTCCTAGTGGTGGCTCCAGGTTCCCCCAGTCTTGTCAGGGCTCTGGCTCTCAGTGGACCTTCCCTGGAGGACCTGGAAGAGCAGGAGTTCCAAATCAACACAGGTCCCCAGAGGATATTGGGAGGGCAAGGAAGAGTGTGGGGCTGTGGACAAGGGAAGATCCAAGTTTGAACCGACCTCAGTCAGTCTGCCCTCTATCTCAGTTTCCCAACCTGGAAATGTAATTGAATCTATTTCTCAGGAGTTACGAAGATTAAGTGAGAAAATTTATCAAAAGCAGTTATGTAGTATTTATCCCTGGCATAATTTTTTTCCTTTCTTTTTTTTTTATTAAATCATAGCTGTGTTGGCTCGGTGCCTGTGGCCCAGGCGGCTAAGGCACTGGCCACATACACCTAAGGTGGCGGGTTCGAATCCCCAGCCCGGCCCGCCAAACAACAATGATGGCTGCAACCAAGAAATGGCCGGGCGTTGTGGCGGGCGCCTGTGGTCCCAGCTACTTGGGAGGCTGAGGCAGGAGACTCGCTTGAGCCCAGGAGTTGGAGGTTGCTGTGAGCTGTGATGCCATGGCACTCTACCCAGGGGGATAGCTTGAGGCTCTGTCTCAAAAAAATAAAATAAAATAAAATAAATAAAAAAAAATCATAGCTGTGTACATTAATGCAATCATGGGGTACAATGTGCTGGTTTTATATACTATCCCAGGCAGAATTTATCTTGCCTCTCAGAGCAGCCAATTCTTCCCCTTCATCCCCTGGCCCCCACCCTTTCCTTTTTAATTCTAATAGAAGCTCCATGTATGAGCGGCCTACTATGCACCAGGCATTTTACTGTTAGGTACTGTGCATCTCCCAACAAGCCTTTACAGTGGATACCAATGTCCCTATTTTGTGAATGAGGAAAATGAGGCTCAGAGAGATAGCATGGGATAGTAGTTGTGAGCACAGTCATCCATTTGTTAGCTGTGAGGCCAGTGGTGGGTAAAACAGGGAGCCTTTGAAGGGTTTCAGCAGAGGAGTGACATCAAATTCCCAGTTGGGAAAGATTTCCTCCTTACATTCAGAAAAACAAATCAGGGTGGGGTAAGACCAAGGTCAAGAGACCAGTTGAGGGGCTGAAAGGTGCACAGGTCCACCTAAGAGATGTGGAGGGCCCACCCAGGCCCCCATCCTCGTGCTGTGGAGAGAGAGGCCTGTCATACCCACAGGGCAGGGGCATGGCTGTGGGGCTGAGGCTTGCACCCCAACTCCACCACTCATGTGACCCTGGACAAGTAGCCTCGCCCTGTGCACCTGTGTTTCCATCTGTCACATGGGAGTAGTTATAGCACCTGCTTTGTGATGCTGGGACATTGGGTTATATGAATTATTACCTATTGTATGTTTTCAAAAACTAGTAGGTATTATTTCTATTCTAGAATAGAGGTTAAGGACAAGGAGTTGTCTAGGATGGGGTTCAGATAATCTGAATTGGATGGCTGGGTGGAGAAAGGGGCTATTCTTTGAGATAAGGAATACAAAAGGCACCAAGTGTAAGAGGAAACCAGTGATTTCCATTTGAGCTAAGTCCAGGGAGGTCCCTGTGGGACATGGAAGCAGAGCCGTCCAGCAGGCATTGGACACACAGCCCAAGACCCACACGAGGGTCTGCCCTGTGGAACACAATCCATGGAAACATGGGCGCAGACATCCATGGGGTGTCTGGAGCAATCCCAGGTAGCTGCTGAAGACAGTATCTTGGGACACTCTGAGGCAGATAGGGGACATCTGCAGTGGACCAGGGTGGGTGGGGTCAAGCAGGAGGGGAGGACTTACCCTGAAGCCAAGGAACCTAGGAGCAACATTTCTAACCAGACTGGTTCAGGCACACACAGACTGCTGATTCCCCATTTTCAGGAAATGACTTGGCCAGGTGAAGCCTCTTTGGATCAGTCAGTTCTTGCTAGGACACAGGGTTCTCAGAGGAAAGAGGGCACAGGCCAGTCCTACCAGAGAATATCACCACCACCTTAGATACAGGCGTGGTTCTCAGGGCATGATGCATTGGGCAGCTTGCCTGGGAATCCCTGTGTGCGTGGTCAAAATGCAGGCTCTTGGCTGCCCTCCAGAATAGAACCTCTGAGAGGCTTCATGGATGATTCTGATGCTCACAAAAATCTGACACCCACTTACATTTGTATGGGAAATATAGTTGTGCTTCCTCTGAAACAAAGTGTCTACATTTAGACAGTTGTGCACATTTCTATCACTGTTTCCTTCATGGGTGGCATTGTGTTTATTACTTGAATGCAAAGACTGTTTCATCCCAGAGATTCTCTGTAGGACAGAGAGGTGGGGAGGGCAGCACCACAGTTATTCCACAGTCTTCTCTGGAAGGGCCATTACCTTGGTGTGCCCTTCCCTTTACCATTGTCACCTCCCTGACTAACCTCTACCTCCACCCCTGCAGCCAACCCTCACGCTGCTGCGGCTGCTGCAATATGACAGCACCTTGAAAGGTCAGCTTTACTTGAGTGTTTATCTTCCCCAAGCTTTCTGTCTCTTTCCCAGAAGCTCTTTCCTTCCATGAAGGAAAATATTTTTAATGGCAGGAAATGGCTGGTGGAAAACAAATGGGGTGGCCTTGCTGGTGAATTTCTTAGAGACAAATTGGGCTGCAACAGAAAAATAAACAAATGCAGTCAGCATGTACAACTGTCCTGCCTAAAGAACCCCTTTAGGGACAAGAAAAGACTCCCATATTCCCTTGAGTGGACTTTGGGAACCACTGACCTTGACCTTGTCTCCTGTGTTCTCTCAAATCTGAGAGACATAGATAGTGTAAAACCCACACCCAGAGCCAGCATCAAGGGCAGTGTTGGCATCAGCCTTTGTCAGGCAATCAAAACCTCTTCTTCCTGTGTAGGGGAAAAGGGCTGGACAAGGGTGACCTTGTCTCTAAGCTTGGAAGTCACATGACCATCTTCTCTCCCCACCGGGCCATGCATGCCTGAAACTGCAGACAGTCTCTGGGACTTAGAGAACTGGGAAGCTTTTGTTCCTCTGTGGCAAGGTCGGGTCCCTCATGGGGGATTGTTTGTGCTCAGCTGAAAGGGACACTTTGGGGATAGAATATTTCAACCTTTAGAAGCAGCAACATTTGCTTGTAGCTGAAAGTCTTCATTTCTGGTCTCCAGCTGTTGTCTGGAGCCACCAGGCCCCCCTGAATGGGCCTACACCCAGCAACTGGGGCAGGCAGTTCAAGGCTGGGCCGGACATGGACCAGCACCCACTTTGGAGAACCAACTACTTGCATATTGATCATGTGAATATGTTTATAACTAAATTTGCCTTCGTTGCTATTACCAAAGATAAATTCCAGGCGCTCTCAAGGGTCATTCAAACCTCCTATATAGACAAATACAGTGGCAGTTTTTTTGTGGGTCTGAGTGAACTGAGGAAAGAGCTTTTTGAATATGTGAGAAAAATAATAGTATTAATAACAATTGCTGCCATTTTTGCAGTACCCATTGTGTGCCAGACGCTGTGCCAAGCATCCAACAGATTCCAGACATTACTAAATTCATCTTTGCAACAACCTAACAAGAAAACAGGCTCAAAGAATTGGTCCAGCCAGTGGCAGTCAGGGCCAGGACTCAGCCCAAGTTCACTGACTCCAAAACCAGGGCTCCTCATTCCACTCCATTCCCCCCAGCTCATCTTCAAGGATGTGGCCTCCAGACAGCCCAGGGAAAGTACAGATTGCTTTGCATGGGGCAAGGAAGGCTTCAAGCATACACTTCTTCACTTATTTGAGGGTACAGACCCTTTTGAGAATCAGAGAAATGGATGGAGTCCCCAAAAGACCCCACCCACCAAACTTTGCATGGCAATTCTAAAGGTCCAGAGAATCTTCCTCCCAATCCTTCCAGGGGACTTCAGGTTTAGACTCTCCCCATTAAGCCATGAGCAGGGTTATTTGAAAGTTAAAAAATGAGACCAGAAAGGATAACAACACAGTAACAATAGTACTAGTAACCACAGATACATTTTACCAACCACTAATTGTCAGGCACCATGCTAGAGATCAGCAAACTTTTTCTGTAAAAGGCTAAAGTCTAAATATTTTACTTGGGTTATTATGAAAGTTTTGAGACAGACTGTGTTGTGGTCCATTATTTCACTTCCAAGAAACACAGTTGACAGCATCCTTCCTGATTCACCTGTGCAAGTTTCTACTTGCTTGGCTTATCAGTGTTGCTGGGAGGGATTTATTTGTTTCCATCTGCATGGATTTTATGTTTCTTGATTTTTGTGTATCTTAGAACTTTCATAATGACCTACATAGACTTTGTAGTCCATTTGGTCTCTGATCCATCCACTAGAACCATGGATAGTCCATTGGGACCCTCAATGACCCAGGGCCATCTGAGCATCTTTGTGAAGGGGTGGGGAATGGAGGTGATGGGAGGCCACCAGGACCCCTTTGATATTAGCCTCAGACAATATGTAAACAGACAGGCATGACTGTGTTCCAGTAAAACTTTGTGGACACCAAAACTTGAATTTTGTATATAACTTTCACACATCACAAAATACTATTCTTTTGATTTTTTTCCCCAACAATTAAAAAATGTACAAGCCATTCTTAGCTCAGACCATACAAAGGTGGCAAGCCCCAGACCATAGTTTGCAAACCCCTCAATGTCCTAACTGCTTTTCACACATCACCTTATTTAATCCTGACAGCTATACTGATTAGGTATTGCTTTTGTCATTTGTCAGATGAGAAAAAACCCTAAGAGGTTAAATAGCTCATTCATACTCCCAAGACACAAGTGGAGTGAGTTTAAATTGTGGGAAAAATAAATGAATGAATTGTAGAGAAAGGGAGGTAAATGTGCGGGTGGAGCAGGAAGGAGGACCCTAAAGCCATGGTGGCACCTTGGGCCCTGGCATATAAGAGAGAGATATCCCTTCCTCCCACAGCCTTTGCTTAATAAATGGTCTGAACTGCAGGGGAGGGCGGCTGGTTTCCTGAGCTCTCCCCCCAACCCCCAGCTACAGGCTCCAAGGACAGAGGCTCCAGACCCAGGACAGCTGGTGGCCTTCACATTGTTTTTCCGTCTCCCAGGTTCTCTTAATTATAACCAATTTGCCACCCTCAGCAATTCCTCGTTCATCTTTGCCAATACCCATGAACTGGAGCCATTAGCCAGACTCCCAGCCAAACATTCAGCTAAAATCACTTCCCTTTCCCATGTAGGGAGTCCTCCAGTCTCTTAGAAACCTGCTGCCTGCCTTCTGCATGCTGCCTTACTTGGCTGGGATTTGCCATCCAAATCTCTTAGGGAAGGAGAGGTGGAATCTGGTTAACTTTCTCCAACTCCTTGCCTTCCTGGCTGACTCCGGGGGCTCTGGCAGGTTGCCTGTGGGGGACCAGGTACAGGATGGCCTTTCTTCTTTGGTGCTCTCCCCACTTCCTCATCCTGTTCTTACTTATTTGCACTGGGGCCCAGGGCTTTGGAACTCTGCCCCAGAAACAATGCTTTCCTCCTTTCCCCAAGTGTTATGTGGGGTGACAGGGTCAGGACACTGGGGTTGAGGAAGGCTGCAGCATGTAGGGAGGGAGAAGGACGCCAGCTTGATGTCACACCTTATATATATAACCTTTGCAGTGTCACATCACAGGAACATTCAGGCCGCGGTCCTCAAGACATGAGCATCTGGGCTGAATGCAGGCTCTGCTGTCTCTAATTCCTGCACCTGTCAGGTTACTCTTATCTTTCCAACCTCCATTCACTCATCCATAAAATAGGGCTGTTGTAAGAGTAAATGAAACAATAAAGGTGAAATATTTAGCTCAGTCACTGGCCTGTGAGTTCTCCATGCATTTTAATGATTTTTTTTTTTTTTTTGAGATAGAGTCTCACTATGTCGTCCTTGGTAGAGTGCTGTAGCATCACAGCTCACAGCAACTTCAAACTCTTGGGCTTAAGAGATTCTCTTGCCTCTGCCTCCCAAGTAGCTGGGACTACAGGCGCCTGCCACAACGCCCGCCATTTTGGGTGGGGATGGGTTACAGTTGTCATTGTTGTTTAGCAGGCCCGGCCCAGGATGGAACCCGCCAGTCTCCGGCGCCCTACTCAGTTAGCTACGGGCTCCGAGCCCATTTTAATGATTTTTATCGCAAACTAAGAATGATGAGGTGCAGTGTGTCCTGGGCGTGGACCTTAGTCCCGCCTCTGAAAAAAGAGAGCGGAATCACAGTTTTCAAACTGTCCCTCTCAGGGACCACCAGGAGCTGGGGGAACCAGGTTGAGCCCTATCCTTGGAGATTGAGAACCCTCAATCACCAAACCTCACGCATACAATGCACTAAGTGAAGGCAGGGCTCTCCCTAGAGATTCCCGACTCAGTTCCTGTAAGCAGCTAGTTTCCCCAACTGACCTTCACCCTCTCAGGGACACAACCTATTATAGGGTGAAAATAACTTTCTCTGCCAGCTCCCTGCTTTCAGTGGGTTTTCCTGTTGCTTCGGGTAAGGGAACAAATATGGAATATGGATGTCTTTATAAATTCCCTCAAGTTTCCCCGGATGGGCAAACAGAAGGCTCAGACCTCCGCGCTGAGCCGCCCGCCCGCCCGCTGGGCTCTCCTTGGGCAGAACCCAGGCCCGCCTCCTGCGCCCGGCTCGCGCTCACCAGCGCCGCCCCGTGGTAAGATCGGAGATCTGCGGAAGAAAGCCGGCCCTGAACCGCCGCGTCCACGCAACTCCTCGGTTCAAGTCACGCATTTCTTGGCTCTAAAACTGGACATTAACCCAAGACTCTCACCGTGACACTTAAAAGGTCTCCGATTTGCTGTCTATCCTAAGGGCAAGTCTCCAGGGCCCTGACCTCCCGGGTCCCAACTATAGGAAAATATTTAGAGCAACCTTTTTTTTTCTGTTTATAAAAAGAACTCATTCTGTCAGCAGATAAGTGATCAGATAAAGTATTCTCCCTCCATGCTATGAAATCCTTTGTCACCACTCAAATTAATGTGGTGCATCTACAAAGACTGTATTAGATATCGTAAGGAAAAAAATCAAGTCACAGAACACAGCATATCATTTTTGTCAGATTTTGTACAAGCCGAGTCCATGCCAAACTCTCACAGTGGTCACCTTAGAACAGGAAGGAGGAGGAGAGGAGGCAGGGATGCTCCATTTTATTTGATGTACATACAAGTGGCTTGAATCTTTTGCACTCATGAATTATATGTGCAATTTTGAGAATAAAATGTACATTGATTATGAAAAAGAAATTTGGAAAGCACAAAAGAACTTAGGGCAGCACCTGTGGCTCAGAGGAGTAGGGCGCTGGCCCCATATGCCGGAGGTGGTGGGTTCAAACCCAGCCCCGGCCAAAAAAAAAAAAAAAAAAACGCAAAAAAAAAAAAAAAAAAAAAACTCACTGTCACACTACTCAAAAGAAAGTACTGTCAAAATGCTTGTGTGCAGGCTTCCAGAACAAACTAGCAGGACTACTTGGGCTAGCCACCTGGGGTCCCAGTGGTGGGAGAGGGCCTAGCCAAAGTCACTGGACCAGTCATCCACTTTGCACCCCATGTTGCCTACACTGCTGCCCCTCCCCACCCTGAGTGACCCCCAGAGACACCTGCTGATGCAGAGGGTCTCCCAGACTCCAGCAGTACACTCAGCTCCCAAGCCAAAAGGTCCTTCTCTTTGTTAACTACAAAATAAACATCTCCAGGCCCCCCGGGCCACTTGGAGTATAAATGTTTATGTATTTTGGAAAGAGAGAAAAAAAAAAAAGACAGACTCTTACAAGTTTCCCTAAAGCAGATGGATGCCAAGTCAGTAATTAACCCTCAGTAATCGGGGTGTCTGATCTTCCGCCAGCAGGCCTGCAACAAGTTGGAAAGATGGCTGATGGGGGCTTGTGCTATAACTTGGCATCTGATGGGCCTTCAAGGTCTCAAAATGTTCTCTGGAAAGTACACTGGCTGCCTCTTTAAAACTCTGAGTTAGGCACTAGGGACTTACCCCCAGGAAGTCCCCATGCACAATAGTGTACCCTACTCCAGATGAAGACTGGGAGCAGCCATAGCATTCATCAAACCACTGGGGGTGAAACCCAGCATGCACACACACAGCTGGGAGGAGCAAGGCTGGCTGGGGCTCACATGCTGGTACTTGGTCATCTTAACAATGACATTCATTAAACACCTAAGGACCTGGTTACCTGCTAAACTCTATATACTTGTTCATTATTTCATTTGCTCCTACAAGCAACCCCATGGGGTAGATATAGTTATATTCACATTTTATAGATGAGAAAATTGAGTCTCTGCTGACATCACTTAATCCTGTGTGGGTAGAATCTCGTCTTCAAATAACAATTGTTGCTTGCCCAAAGTCATCTAGCTGGTAAGTGATGGCACAACTGGCACCAAAAACCTTTTACAATGTCAAAACCACACCTGCCTACCCCCCCGCCATTTGTGTTCACAAACTCTTTCCACAGTTATCACTTTTCAATCTTATAGAAACCATGCTGAACTCAAAGACACTGGCCTGTGGGAGGTCTCTGCAAAGATCACGCTATTCTCTTGGGTATAGCCAAAGAGGACAAGCTGGGGCCAGAATCTCATCAGGAGAGGCTGGGGGATCTGAAAAGATAAGCTTTCGCCATCTTTCCAATGCCAGAAATGAGGCCCAGAGTGCAAAATTTGTGTGCACAGGGTCTCCCAAGACTTTGCCTACACGGTCAATGTCATTTCCACGGCTTCCCGAAGCTTCCTGAAAACATGGAGCCTGGTGGCAAGAACAGACTAGAGAAACAGGAAGATAGCCCCTGGTGTGTTCTTTGGGGCCTTGGGCCAGGAGAAAGGTATCATACAGTGTTTAAGGGTGTCTCCCGCTTATACAAAGTCATCTGGGAGCTGCTTTCATCTAGCAACTCCACCATCTGTGGCTTCAAGTCATCTACTGTGTGGCTGCCCTTGCCCATACCACTGCCCCTCCCCACCCTGAGTCACCTGCAGGGTGTCACAAACAGATAGGTAGGAGGAAGGAGCTTAAGCAGAGGTTCTCAGGGAGATGCTGGGGGAAACCTGTACCTCGCTTCCTCCCACATTCCATTGGCCTAACTGGTCACATGGGCTCACTTGGATGCAAGGGCAACTGGGAAATGTAGTTTTCCAAAGGGTGAAGAGGTGTGGACAATGAAATTGGTGAATATACAACCTGTCTCTGCCACATTATTCCATAGTTCATAGTCATGTCAGGGCCTGGAATGTCTTGAGATTGTTGTTCTGCTCGCTGGAGGAGCAATAGACTATGAAGCTAGAGAAGTGGGTGGGGCTAATTCTAAGAACACAGGTGGCAAGGTGGAAGGGGTAGGAGTACTGACCTGCAATCCAGCCCTTAACTGGCAATCCAGCCATGGCAGAAGAGGGACCAGATAATGCCAGAACAAGAGACAGAATCCCCCAGACAAATGTGGAGGGAAACCAAATAGCCCTGAAGACATCAAGAGCAGGCCACGCCAGTTAGGAGTCCTGGCCTGCTCTGCAGAAGAGGATGCAAGAGGGCGCTGGGGAATGAAGATGGAAAGCAGAGGAGAGAAGCCAACAGAGGGATCTGAGGAATTCTAAGGAAATGGGGACTGGAGGCTGGAAGGGTCTTCGGTGCCAGTAGAGCCAGTTTCATGGGCATGCAAGCTCTGCAGTCCCACAGGGTACAGGTTTAGAAAGGCCCCATGCTTGGCCCTGGCTGTAACTGTCTTGAAATTCTTAATTTTCCAAGAAAGGGGTCCCACGAATAACCAATCCAGAATCCAGAGATTATCCACCTTGATTCCAGATGACCCTGCCCGCAGGCTGTGGGTGCTGCTGCTACTGGCTGTTTTCCAGCCTGATGGGACAGCAAGGCCACAGGAAATGGGTCTGGAGGAAGACAGTGGAGGTGGCCAGCTCAGGAGTGCCCCTTATCGCCTCCATGTATAAACATGCAAGAGGCACAAGTTTCAGATCCTACTTGTCCAGAGAGTAAGGCTTGTTTAGCTGGTCAGCTGGTGCTGACTGTTAGCAGGACGCTTACTGTTGAGAGATTTTTTCACAAAAAAAAACAATGAGGCTCAGGGCCTGTGGCTCAAGTGGCTAAGGTGCCAGCCACATACCCCTATGGTGGCGGGTTCAAATTCAGCCTTGGACCCGCCAAACAACAATGATGGCTGCAACCAAAAAAAAATAGCTGGGCCTTGTGGCAGGCACCTGTGGTCCCAGCTACTTGGGAGGCTGAGGCAGGAGACTCGCTTGAGCCCAGGAGTTGGAGGTTGCTGTCAGCTGTGATGCCACGGCACTCTACCCAGGGGGACAGCTTGAGGCTCTGTCTCAAAAAAATAAAATAAAATAATTCAGATTTTTCTAGCACCGTGGGAGACCAAGGTGGGTGGTTCACTGATTTGAGACCAGCCTGAAGAGAAAGTGAGACCCTCCCCCCACCCGTCTCTACTATAAACAGAAAAACTGAGGCAAGAGAATCACTTGAGCCCAAGAGTTGGAAGTTGCTGTGAGCTATGATGCCATGACATTCTACCCAGGGTGACATAGTGAGACTCCATCTCAAAAAAGAAAAAAAATTTCAGATTTCACTTTCTCAGTGAAATGGAAATGTCCTCCTGGCTCGGCCCTGTGGCTCAAGTGGCTAAGGCATCGGCCACATACACCTAAGGTGGCGGATTTGAATTCTGCCCGGGCCCACCAAAACAACAATGATGGCTGCAACCAGCACTCTACCCAGGGGGACAGCTTGAGGCTCTGTCTCAAAAAAAACAAAACAATGAGCTCTGAAAGCGGTGTGGTGTTGAGGGTGGCAGATGAGTGGATGAAATCCAAGAGCCCATACAGGAAAATGGGGGAATTGGAATTAAAGCAAGAGGGACACTAACCTTGGGAGTCTCTTGTTTTATATACAAAGACATTTAAGGAGAACTGTACATTTAAAAAAAAGAAAGAAAGAAAGAAAAGAAAATCAGTTCTGATGTTGGAGACATTACCAAAGCAGGAAATAGATTTATTAGTACTGGCTGCTAACTGTGGTCTAGGGGGGGAAACCCTCTTCAAGTCAAGGAGAGATTCAGACACATCTGGCAAACTGATGGGACCAGCCCTTTGTTGCATCGGTGGGAACAGTCTAAGAAGGAACTGGCACAATGAACACAATCCAGTTACAAAGCATGATTCCAGAGGAGGGGAGTGATTAGTAACAGCGCCTTGCTCTCATGCACTGAGCACTTACCATGTACCAGGCATTGTGCTACACACATGCATTATGTACCCTTTCCTGTGTAACAAATTATTCCAAAATTTAGCTGCTTAAAGCAACAGGCTATTATTATCCTTCAGTTTCTCTGGGTCAAGGATTCAGGAGCTGTTGAGCTGAGGGGTTTTGGTTCAGAGTCTCGCACAAGTTTACAGGCGAGATGTCAGCTAGGGCTGTGGTCATCGGAAGGCTGGACTGGGTTGGAGGATCCGCTTCCAGGATGGTACCCTCATTTAGCTGGTCAGCTGGTGCCGACTATTAACAGGAGGCTTCCTCCAAGACACAGTGGCTGGCTACCCCCAGAGCAAGTAACCTAAGAGTTGGGTGGAAGCTGCCATCTTTTCTGAAACCATGCTCCATCATTTCTGCAATGTCCCCTTGGTACAG